TCCCTGGAGGATTTCCGCTACATCCCCAGACACGTTAACAGACTTTTCCAGTAGCTGTACTGGCCGCGAATGCATCCCAAGTCCTCAGGGCAAAGTAATCATTAAAAAACGCTTGCTTTTAAAACAAGTTTTATATTTTAAAAGGTAAACTCACCTGAGGTCCCTTCCATGGGGTCATGGTCTTGGATACTGGCTTGGGAGGGTTGGGAGGGTACTTCAGTCAGGCTGAAAAAAGATCCTGGCCGTTGGGGAGAATGGAGTGCTGGGTGCTCTCTGCAAGCTCGTCCTCCTCCTCCTCCTCTTCCCCATCCGCAGAATCCTCAGGTGTAGCCGATGAGACTATCCCAGACCCGGAATCCACGGTCACAGGTGGGGTAGTGGTGGCGGCCCCCCCTAGAATTGCATGCAGGTCGGCGTAGAAGCGGCATGTCCGCGGCTCTGACCCGGAGCGACCGTTTGCCTCCTTTGTTTTTTTGATAGGCTTGTCTTTCACGCGGCACTGATCTGAGTCCCTATTGTGACTTCTCTCCATCATGCCCTTGGAGATTTTTTCAAAAGTTTTGGCATTTCGTCTTTTAGAACGAAGTTCTGCTAGCATTGAATCCTCTCCCCATATAGCGATCAGATCCAGTACCTCCCGTACGGTCCATGCTGGTGCTCTTTTTCGATTATCGGACTGCATGGTTACCTGTGCTGATGAGCTATCTGTGGTCACCTGTGCGCTCCACGCTGGGCAAACAGGAAATGAAATTCAACTATTCCCGGGGCTTTTCCTGTCTACCTGGCCAGTGCATCCGAGTTCAGATTGCTGTCCAGAGCAGTCACAATGGTGCACTGTGGGATAGCTCCCGGAGGCCAATACCATCGAATTGCGGCCACACTAACCCTAATTCGAATTGCTAAAATCGATTTTGGCGCTACTCCGCTCGTCGGGGTGGAGTACAGAAATCGATTTAAAGAGCCTTTTATTTCAAATTAAATGGCGTCGTTGTGTGGACGGGTGCAGGGTTAATTCGAATTAAGGCTGCTAAATCCGAATTAAAGTCGTAGTGTAGACCAGGCCTTCGAAATCTAGCTCTTCATTGTGTGCATCTTCATAGATTATTTTGCAGCTTCAAATCCAGTTTCTTCCCCCTTCATCCATTTTTAAAATCCCCTCCGTTTTCTGTTACACACAAGGAAGGAATAATTAAAATAACCACATGTTTTTAATTCATTAAATTCACCCTGTTTGTTCTTGTACCAAGATTCCTAAATTCTGTCAGCAAGTTAAGGAAAATTGGGGAGGAAAAACTGGGATTATAGTTCATTGTCTTTAGCACAAGCACTTTTGTGATGTGATTTTTCAGGGCTTAAAGAATTAATCAAATGTCTCTAAAAGAGAGCTATCTGTTGCCCTCTCTTGCTCTAAGAGACTAATACTGTGTGGATGGAAAAATGTGCTTCCCATAATCAATAAGAGGGTGTTACCCAGGGCTTTCTGAACCCAAAATAGTGATCTTAACTGTTTCTCTTCAGGAATAAATGCATGAGACACAGCTGCTCCATCTGATAAATGATTGGTACAAACAAGAGTGCTTTTACTTAAAACTACTTTTTATTAGCTTTCAAGCACATACACACACTCATGCTGTAGCAGTAGGTTTTAGAGCATTCCAAAACTTTATAGTTACCCAAAGTTTGAGATGGTTTTGAGTAATCAACAGCCAGGCTTCTGGGGGCCCTCCTTCTGTCCAGCTGCTGGGGAGTTTAGGTGTCAGTTTCTTGCCCAAAGAAAAGCTCCCTTGGGCTATTCCAAGATGTTTACTTTTACTTTTTTATAGCTAACTTTTACAAATCACATAATTTATAGTAACCCCTAGTGGGTTACCAGTTTTTCTAGTTTTAGCAAATTGCTTATTATTTTTATTAATAAAAAACTCCTAATGTTTCTAGCCATAATAAACTTATATATTTGAGGCACCCAAATACAAGATTGCTATTCATTTTTATTTTTATTTTTATGGTTTTATGATTTGTTAACGTTTTCCCCTCCTCACATTTTAATTAGCAAAACTGCAAACATGCAGCTGTTTGTCCTTGTCTGTTAGCTAGGAATAATTTTTAGGACTCTGTGGTGTTTGGTTTTCAGCTAGCAGTGGCTGGATATTAGGGTGACCAGACAGCAAATGTGAAAAATCGGGACGGGGGTGGGGGATAATAGGAGCCTATGTAAGAAAAAGACCCCAAAATCAGAACTGTTGCTATAAAATCGGGACATCTGGTCACCCTGCTGGACACACACAATGGCTGACTACAGTTATGTTAAGTTCTGGTGTTACAATGGGGTATTTAGAAATGGGTGAGAGATCTTATGAACATCTAATACTAATCTAATCTGTAAATGCAAAATTACAGATTTGTGGGAGGAGGCTGTTTAGCTAAAAGATCAGCAGATACAAATCCAAGCAGAAGAGCAGCCTGGGGTTTCTTTTCTCTTGTATTGTCTTGCTGTCTCACCCCGGGTTTTCTTTCACCTTGGATCTTAACATATGCATCTTCCATCCACACATGCTAAAGTGAGAGTGTCCTTATTTTCGACCCCACAAAACATTTCACAGTGATAAGGTTTCACTGTAATAACCTCCCCACTCATACTCCCTCAAACTCCTTATGAGCTAGATTTTAGGTCAATTCCCCCCGCCCCTTATTTCCAGTCCCTTCGTTCAGCTCCTTGCTTGAAGTGGGGGTTGCTGGTGCTGATAACATTGCTGGCAGGAGTATCAGAGCAGTACCAACTTACTGCTAGAGTGGAAAGAGACAAAATCCCCTTTCCACCTCTCCCACTCCAATCTGCTCCACTCCTAAGGAGCCAGTTTGTGGGTGAGGGAGAAACCTCAGAGCCCTTCTTCTGTGAAAGATCAGTGCAATCAATTCTTAGTTATACTCCTTGTCCTCTCAAAGGTCCAATCTGGTTTTTGAAATGTTTTCATTCTGTTACATGACCAGAGTATAGTAGAATGAAATCTTCAGATTAGCTGACACCATGGAGTATCTCCAGCCTGATCCCAGACCATCAGTCACATGAACATAGCCAGTAAGGGTTTGACACTTTTATCAGTTCCTTCCTCCCCTTACTTCAAGAAGTATCACTTGTTCATTCTGCTTTTGTTGATTCAGTTGCAGCTGCTCCACTTTTATTCATTTCTTCACAAAGCACCTCGAGTGGAGGCCTCTGTTAGCACGGGATGTTTTTATAGATTCCATGTGGGATTTTCTCTGGGGAATATCTAATTATCTTTGGCAATAGGAATGAAGGGAGCAATAGTAAAAGGGCCACAGTACTGCCAGTGCAGTTCTCCCATATAGACTGTAAAGGGGTTCTACTGAAACTTTCCCTGATAGAGAGCTTCTGTCTTGGATTTCTTCTCCCCATTCTTCTGTTGTAGGTTACCATCTTTATCGTGAACAACCTTCCCTCACATCCAGAAGGGTGATCAAAAATATTCCTTTAAAAAAATCACACATCCATGCACACACTGCCTTCAGTTTCTCAGGTCCAGTCCTGTTACTGCAAAAGTGCTGTGTGATGGAAATAAACATTCTTTGAAAGCTGAGCTCTGCAAATTACAAGTATTGAGAATTTAGTTATGGTTCTTGATAGCACCATTGTTAAAATTTTGGAAGTCTAAAACATTAATAGAACTGGAGTTTATCCCCAGGAATTTGCTACAGCTGACGGGTGAAGTGGAAACATTTATTTCAGAAGTCATTTTACAGGGCAACTCAGAGCACAAACTCTGATTGATGAACATTATTGTTATATTGCATGCGGAAGTTACCTAGTATCTCCTTTGCCAGATCCATAAGTGGAAGGAAATCAGCAAGAGCAGTGCAGTAAGGCACTGTATGGTGTTTGTTTTCAAATTCAGTTTGTTAAATTCAGGGTAAATTAAAGATTGAAGATATTGTGCCTTTGTGTTATGAGCACTGGTGTAATGCAGTTGAGTTAATCACAGTACATAGAAAACATGCTTTCCAACTAGATTGGCGTGGATATTTAGCCAGGCTGAAATAAACATCACCTTAAACATACAGTTTCTCTTTACTGAAATACTGATATCTGAAGGATTTTTATAGGGTTTTTTGTAAACTATTATATTATTGGATTGCCTATTTCTTTAATATAAGGGAATAATGTTCAACTGTCCAACAGATGCTCTGGTGACAGGAATTTTGTTTGATATAATTTTCACCTCATTGTTTCAGATTGCTATCAAAGAGCAACTCCACGAGACTCAGGGAATGTGTGAATATGCAGTCTATGTTCAAGGTATGCCAGATGAAGACTATGAAAATAATCTGTCATCCTGAGTTACTTCTGCTTTGAAATGCAATTCTCTGTTTTAAGAAAAACAACCCACACATATAAATACCATATGTGAACTCTAGCAGGATTTAATGAAAATGTGGTTGAGTGAATAGACATGCGATAACTTCTGAAATGTTTCTACTTGCCTGGTTTAATTTTGAAATCCAGGGTTATCACTTTAATGAACAGATGAGGATTGGTGGTTCTTGTGAGTACATGGGTTTTTCTTGGTGACCTGATATCTTCAGATCTTCCTGGAACGGCTGATGCTTGGCTCTGGTTATAATTGGCCCTCTGCATTTGACTGTGTCATGTGAAATGTGTTTTTTGTTAGAGCCATGTTCTCTAAGGTAACTGTTTGGTTATGGTTTCCTTTAAGGACGCATTAATGTTCAGTATGCAGTGGCTGCTGTATTTGCTTACACAGTCAGAACATAACCAGTGCCAATTCATTGCCTTGGAATGTTATGAAAATGAAAAGCATAATCTCAAACCACCCTCGATTCTTTAGAGTACCACAATCTGTTCTAGAGATGTAAAGGAACATGGCCCTGAAGGCTGAAGTTCCCTGTGTCATGTTGGCAGAATGCAGGCGGGGGGATGATCTGAAGGTCTTCAGTGGGCATCAGTGCTGCAGTTCAAATTGCAGTACACTGGAGCATTTCAGGGGCTAAGAGAATTTCAGACTTTTTGTTATTGAAGACTTAGGGCTCCCTCCCCTCTAAAGTGGTTTTCAGCCTTGAAGCAAACACAGTCCTTCCTGTGTGCACCCTAGCTCAGTCAGCGCTGGCACCTCAGCCCGCTCAAATGAAAGTTTCTGGTTATGTTGCTGTAATAGAGGGAGCAACTAAGTGGAAACTGTTACAGTTCATCTGTCCTCCCTGTACAGTCGAGACCTGCCAGTGATGCAGCTTGTCTTCCCTACAGGGTAATGGACTAATTTGCCTTGTGTGTGTTGCTTTGCAGCCTTGATACTTCGTTTAGAAGGGAAGATTCAAGAATCCCTAGAACTTTTTCAGACATGTTCCATTCTAAATCCTCAGAGTGCTGACAACCTCAAACAGGTGGCGCGATCATTGTGAGTGTAATTTTATTCCTACAGTCTGAAGTGTCACACAGTACATGGCAAGCTTTGTTTTTGTTCCAGACGCAAAGTTAATACCATTTAGATCCCAAGTATATTTCCTCACCATCGGCACTTAGATTGGTTTCCATAGATGAGAACTCCCTATTAAATTAGGATCTCTAGCACAGTGCATCTGTCTAGTTGTAATCGTTGATGCTCTTTCATGACTTTTTTCTTCGTTGTATTTTTAATGCTTGGGGGGGAAAGTAATACTGATGATTAGATCAAGAGCTGTTAATGCAGGTATGTGCTGTGCAGGTTTGTACCACTGAGCCCTGCCTGTGTGCATGTGATTGTGTTGGGCACCTGTCTCTGTGGGAGTTAGTCCCAGATTTGCAAAGATTCTTAGGTGCCTTTCTCCCTGGATCAAGGGAGTATTGCAGAGGCAGTGCATTCATGCCGATGAAGGGAGCACTCACTTCTCTCATCAGTAATCCTCTGGCTTGCTAGAGATCAGCATTGACTTACTACAAAGAGATCCTCTTCCTACTTAGATTGTAGACTTCTTAGGACAGATATATGTCATTGGTAGATTGCAAAGCAGTATGCAGACCTTTGGGGTATGTAAATAATATCATTCTCCTTGGCTGGTAGGTTGGTGGCTGCACAGTGTGGCTTCACACTTAAAGGGCAGAGAAAAGTAAAAATTGAAATTCTTTCACAGGTTTCTGTTGGGGAAACACAAAGCAGCTATTGAAGTATACAATGAAGCAGCTAAACTCAACCAGAAGGATTGGGTAAGTACAGAGCCTTTTGCCATATGTAGCTCACTAAAATCTTTCTTGAGGCACAGTCAAACATAGACCCATGCAACATGTTTGTATTCTGCAGGAAATCAGCCTTCCAGTCAAACCCTGCATAGCCATGAGCTAGATTACACACTGAGCTAGATTACTTCAAGGGTAGATACGGAAAGCACCTGTCCAGTCCAGAAACCCTCCAGTACCACTGATATAGAATCATAGAATATCAGGGACCTCAGGAGGTCATCTAGTCCAACCCCCTGCTCAAAGCAGGACCAATCCCCAGACACATTTTTGGCCCTGAGCCCTAAATGGCCCCTTCAAGGATTGAACTCACAACCCTGGGTTTAGCAGGCCAATGCGCAAACCACTGAGCTATTCCTCACCATCCTGTGGGTAATTGGGTAACTTGTTCCACTGGTACCTAAAGTAGTGTAAAACCACCCCCAAATAACCGATGGGCTGCACTGAGTATTGTCTGTCTTTGTAAAATTCAGGTCCACTGTTACAGGACTAGTAATAAATAAAACCCTCCCAAGTAGGAGAAGAGCTGAAAGAAGAGATCTACAAAGAGCAATGAGTGTAAAGTGAGCTGGCGGGAGGTGAGGAAAGAGAGAGGTCGTGGTTCACAGATCCTTGAGAACAGCCTCCAAGGGAAGTGCTGTGTTTCTGCACATGAGCTCTCATGCTGCAAGCCATTGATCATATGCACGCTTAAAACAAAATGTATTGGGCCTGATTCCGAGAGGCTCAGGCACCTGCAGCTCCCATTGACTTCATCTGTGCCTTTAGGTGTTCAGCACTTCTATAAATTAGGCCCAATATTTGTGGGTATTTGGTACTGCTTTCTCCCACCCACTCTGTGCTGAACAGCGAGTACAACTTTTTCCTGGAGCTGTGCAAATGATGGACGTTTCAGGACGCTGGTAATTCTGAAAAATCTAAAAATAGTTTCAGGTCAAACCAAAACGAAAGTGGGTTTTTTAAATTTTTGATGAATCAAAGAGTGTTTTAAAAAAGAAAATGAATAATTTTGGGTTGAACAATATGTTTCATTTTGACAAAATAGCAATGTTTCAGCGTAAACAAACATTTGGACCATTTTTAAACCTTTTTGATTGTTTTAAAATAAAAATAAAGGAAATTTCTACATGCAAGTTGTTTCCAACTGAAAAATCAAAACATTTTGATTTAAAAAAAAAATTTTTTTTCCACTGAAACAATTTGTCAAAACCAACAGTAATTTGGGAAATATTTTGGGGTCTTTGAATCTGCATTTTTAACTGGAAAATGTTTCAGCCAAAAATTGTCACCCAGCTCTGCTTTTATCAAATGGATTGCCTTTCAACCCCATTCTTTCCCAAGGATAGGTTTGCACTGCAGTCAGGAGATGTGATTGCAATGTGCGTAGGCCCACCCCAGCTATCTTTGATCTAGCTAGCTCGAGTAACAATAGCAGTGATGCCATGGCAGTAGGGACAGCAGCTGCATCCTAGGCAGGTGGCGCTAGCCCATGCTGCTGCAGCTTCACTGCTGTTGTTCCTCGAGCTGGCTTTGATCGATTAAAGCTAGTTTGAGTATGTCTCCAAGTGCTGCAAATATACCTCCTGATTGCAGTGTAGACCTGCCCTAAGAAAACAAACTATCTGTGGCATGTGCTGGGCATGGCTTTAAACCTATAGTTTACTACCCCATCTGGCAGGCATCAACAGGTATCTCCATAACACACTCAGTGCTGGAGTCAGAGTTGATACTTTCACTTTCCTTGTATGGAAGCACCCTACCAACTCAATCCAGCCTTGAATTGCGCTTTGTGTCTTTACCGTTCTTCACAACTGGAAGGGTTGTGCATAGGAGAGGGCCATTCTGTTGTGATAGGAGGGTAAAATATTCCATAGACTGCATTCTCCCTGCTAGAGATCTACCTAGGGAATGTAGAGAATTTCTACACTAGTAAAGTGGGGTATGTTTTTAGCAGAGGAAGAAGGGAAACTTATGGGGTTGCTCTGCTGCTTGGCATTGCGCCTCACATCCCCCAGAATGGGAAAAGACAGCATGTAGCTTGTCTGTTAACAAATTCTTAGTCGTGAACTGGATTGGTGTAAATGTTTCCTATGGTGCCACCAGCATATTTAGCATGCTGAAAGGATTTCAGCCTCTCTGGTACAGGACCTGTATTCTGGTCAGCTAGGTCCACTTTCAAATTGTGTTTATCATAGGCTAGGGATGTTTTGAGAGGGCCTCTTGGTATAATAGAGGTCACATGTGATGGATTCATATCTCCCCACTGGGAATCCAGTGCAGTCTCAGCCAAGTATAGATCCCTTTGCACAGGCCTTCCCTCTTTTATCCTCACTGCTCTCTTGCTGTCACCTCCCCTGGGATGTACTCTTCTTTATGCTGAGGATCAAACCAAATAGATTATCAAAATGGCTGAAGTGTAGCAAGTTCTTTGAACTACAAAGTCCATGGAGGTTCCCATCCAAACCAATAACTGTTACTAGTCTCTTTCTGATTATCCAGTGTCAAGTTCACCCTTATGCAGCTTTTTCCTTTATACGTAGGAGATCTGCCACAACCTGGGCGTGTGCTACATGTACCTGAAGCATTTCAACAAGGTAACTTGAGTGCTTGTCTTGTCCAAACAACATCACTGAGAGCCTGTCTACGTGGTGTGGCAGGGCACACCATATGGGTGTGAATTCTAATGCGTACCAACGTGTTGTGCACTAACTAGTCCGTGTAGACCTTGCTGGTGTGCACTAAAACTTCTCACATTAGGGAAGTTTTAGTGTGCACCAGCGGGGTCTACACAGGTCAGATAGTGTGCAACAGAATTCACGTGCTGTAGAGTTCATACCCCTCTGGTGCGCATTACCCCACCATATAGACAAGCCTTAAGACATCACTAGAGATTCTCTTTTCAGTAGTTTTACTAATAAAGGGATCACGTACAGTCAGTCTAGTTTCTTAGCTGTTTCAAATGTTTGATCTGTTGTGATAATGGAGTCTACAAATTTACACCTCTACCTCCATATAACACGACCCGATATAACACAAATTCGGATATAACGTGGTAAAGCAGTGCTCCGGCGGGGCGGGGCTGCGCACTCCGGTGGATCAAAGCAAGTTCGATATAACGCGGTTTCACCTATAACACGGTAAGATTTTTTGATTCCTGAGGACAGCATTATATCGAGGTAGAGGTGTACCCTAATTGTGAGTGCAACTATAAGAAGTGAGTGAAAGTTTTATAAAATGTCACAATACCAATAAATGTTGATGGGAAAAGGTACAAAATGGAGACACAAATCTAAATTAGTCAAACAAAACGGCCTATTGACATACCTCAAGGATTGTTGAGATCATGCCTAGTAAACAAGAGAAGTGTGGGACTGGAAATCCGTGAACCAAAGTAGGTCTGTTAGAAATTAGGCCTAATTGGTGGACGAAATAATGACGGGATAATCTGCCCATAACTTGACTTGTGGGGCTCTCAAAAAGAGACTTTGAGAGATGAAAATAAGCAGAGGGGCTACCGCAATGCTGACTGACAGACAGGAAAGGAGCAAGCTTCACTATCATGGCTGCCATCCCCACCATCTCCAGGGACCCCAGACTTTCTTCATCCTAATACTGAGAGATGGCCTGACCAGACTGAGCCAGAAAGAGGGACCCGGACGACACTGCTACCTTCATCGGCTTGGCTAAATCTTGAACACTAACTGGGATGTGAGACTTCATCTGCCCCACACCCTTTCTTGTGTGTTCTTTTCCTGACCCAACTTATTTCTTCTCTTTCCTATCTTTCTCTTGCTTTATGTCTAATAAGAGTATGGCTTAGCTGGCCAAAACTGAATATTTTGCAACACTTCTGTAAATCTGTGACCACAAAGAGGCAAGTAAAAGCAATGCCCTAAATAGCCTGATGCTGGTGCAAGTTTGCCAACTCTCTCAGTAGCTGATAAGACTGTGCGCTGGGCCTGTGTTTTTCCAGCAGTGAGGTTGTAAGTAAGAATCAACACCAGAGACCGAAATTGCATTTCCTATCTTTGCTGTTCTTTTCTTTCCCCTTCTATGTGTTTGTCTTGTTTTGCCTTCTAGGAAACAGGATCAGACTTTAATGACAGCTCCAGCCCATCTCAACTAACTTGTCTTTTCCCCCAAAGGACAGTTATTACCATCTTTAATACCATCTAGGAGACTTTCAAACAAAGGAACAAGGGATGTTAAAATGAAAGCCTCACTTAATACTTTTAATTTCTAATGCTTTAGGTGTTTTTCCCTCCTTTTTGTTTCTGTACTGAAAGGTTACAAAGAATTTTTAATGGTGTGTTTACCGTGGCACTAAGCAGACTGAGGTCTCTGTATACCAAACCCTAAGCCTTGTTTAAAACTGTTTAATGTTGCACAGTTAGGGTATATTTACACTGCAGTTAAACACCCACAGCTGGCCCATGCAAGCTGGCCCAGGCTGTGGAGCTGTAAAATTGCAGTGTGGACATTTAGGCTTGGGCTGAAGCCTGAGCTGTGGGACCCTGCGAGTGGGGAGGGTGTCTAATTGCAGTGTAGACCTACTCTGACGGTCATGTTAACACTTTCGATTCTTTGGGCCTATTTATTCCATCTACATCAGGGGCAGGGCCGGTGTAACCACTAGGCAAACTAGGCGGACACCTAGGGTGCCAAGATTTGGGGGTGCCAAAAAGCGGGCCCAAAATTTTTTTTTACACTACAGTGGAGTCACATCTTACGCGGGGGTTAGGCTCTAAGGTCAAAGCATAAGAGGAAAATCGCATATAGTGAAAATTACCATAAAGTACAGTACACACAGTATACACTAGAACAGGGGTCCTCAACTTACAGCACGCGTGCCAAAGGTGGCACGTGAGCTGATTTTTTTTTTTTTTTTATGGCAGGCTGCGGGTCCCGGTCACCGCTGAGCCCGCTGCCAGTCTGGGGTTCGGTCCGCCGGCTCCTGCCAGCCAGGGTCCCGGCAGCTGGCCCTACTCAGCCCGCTGCCAGCTGGGGTCCTGGCAGCTGGCCCCACTCTGCCCGCTGCCAGCTTGGGTGAATGGTCTGGGGTTCTGTTCACCCAGGCTTCCATCCATCAGCCTGTGGTTCCGTTCACGGGCTGAGTGGGGCAGGCGGCTGGGACCCCGGCTGGGAGTGGGCTGAGCAGGGCCGGCGGCTGGGACCCCAGCTGGCAGAAGCCTGTGGATGAAACCCCAGACTGAGCAGTTCAGCCCGCTCCTGGTCTAGGGTCCTGGCCGCTGGCCTGCTCAGCCCACTGCCGGCCCCACTCAGCCCCCTGCCGGCTGAGTGAACGGAACCCCAGGTCGGCAGCAGGCTCAGCGGCAGCCGGGACCCACAGCCTGCCATTAAAAAAAAAATCGGCTCGCGTGCCACCTTTGGCACATGTGCCGTAGGTTGAGGACCCCTGTTCTAGTGTATACTGTGTATACTGTGTGTACTGTACTTCATGGTAATTTCACTATATGCGATTTTCCTCGCTGACCTTAGAACCTAACCCCCGCGTAAGGTATAACTCCACCGTATTCATTTTTGAAAGTTTTTATAATAAGCGATGCTCCAAGGAGTGGGGGTGGGGACGCAAGGTGAAAGTTTTGCCTAGGACACAAAATATCCTTGCACCAGCCTTGATCAGGGGTTGGCAACCTTTCAGAAGTGGTGTGCCAAGTCTTCATTTATTCACTCTAATTTAAGGTTTCGTGTGCCAGTAATACATTTTAATGTTTTTAGAAGGTCTCTTTCTACAAGTCTATAATATATAATTAAACTATTGTTGAATGTAAAGTAAATAAGGTTTTTAAAATGTTTAAGAAGCTTCATTTAAAATTAAATTAAAATGCAGAGCTCCCCCCTCCACCACCCCCCCCGGACCGGCGGCAAGGACCAGGGCAGTGTGAGTGCCACTGAAAATCCGCTTACATGCTGCCTTCGGCACACATGCCATAGGTTGCCTACCCCTGATCTACATTAATACAATAGAGCTCTCTGTTTATAAACTCACAAGAGCAGCTACATCAGTAAAATTCTGGCATTCAACCCTTTACAAATCAGCCACTAATGAGTCTCTAACTAACAGATGTATCCCCCTGGCAGTGTGCAGATTGAAGTGAGGTTTGGAGGTGGCCGAAAGGGGATGGTGGAAGCCTCCCAGACCCTGTCTAAACTAGACTTCTTGGTCATGCTGTAACTCAAGATTGACACTTCACTCAAGTTAACCAACAGGACTATAACTGCAAATGTGGACATCTTCCCAAATGTTTGTGTTTCACTCTAGGCTAAGCCATAGAATAAACTTCATTTCCTGTTTAAAAGCAATGTGGGGTGTTTATATTTGCCATTGCAGTTGTGGGAATTAACTTGAGTAAACTGGCAACCAGTGAACTTGGGTTACAAAGCGACCAAGAAGTCTAGTCTAGACAGGGTCTGATAGGCCTTGTTTGAACTAGAATTTTCCAGAGAGTATTTCCATTTTTCAAAGAAGACTTCTAGCTATTCTGAGATGACCCCTAGAGTTTGCCTGTCTAGCTGGATAACAAACCACACTCTGACATGAGGGGATGCTCCTCCTGTCTTGGAGCCTTTTACAAAGGTGTAGATGAGTTTCTAGCCTCATGGAGGTGGTTATAACCCGTGGGATGTACCTTCCTGAAGATGGGAATGGTGTAAGGCCGAAATCCTGGCCCCAGCATACGGTCCAAGCAGCTGGGCTCAGTGGTGGGAAGTTCTCAGGGGCTGAGGAAGGGCTCTGCACAGGGCTGAGGGCAGGATTTGGAGATTCCATGTTGGAGGTACCAAGGGGTCCTGTACACTGCAGAGCAGCTGAGCTGGAGGGGCTCACCTCTTTTCCCTGCCTCCATGGCATGGGCTTGCTAGTGGTGTGGAAGCTACTCCCACAGGAAGCCTGGAGCAGAGGTCACAGAGCAGCCCCGCTGCTATGGAGTGGCTGGATGGGGGTGGATGCATTGGCAGTGCTTCTGGCGCTTAGCAACTAATAAAAGAACACCTAGGAAACTTGAAATTGGACTCTCGATCCTCTTGCACTCCCTCCAAACATGTCATTTTATGCTACTCACTTAGATGTCACTGCATGGCTTCCCCTGATGAGAACTGAGCTGCTGGTGTTGATTTTGTGAGGTGTCCATTTGAGATGGAAAACACAGCATTTCAAGGGAACGATCGGTTCCCAATTTGATCTTCCCACTCCCCGCCTCTAAAAATGTAAAAATTCTCTTACCAATCAATCCCTGGCAGAGATTAAATATTGTCTGCTGCCTCAGGTGGGAGCTGTATTCATCTTAAAATCAGTATTGAATTACACAATCCAAGTGCACCATCAAGCAGGGTGGTGGACTCACTGTATCTGTTACAGTCGGCATCACAGCTAGGTTGTACTTAAGTCAGGCCTCCTTTAAAACTGCTTTTATTAAGAATACTGCAATCCTCGTGTTGAGCTCGTACTTACAGCCCTGCACGGATACAAAATTTGTATCTGCATCTGATCTGCAATCTGCAAACATGGTTCGTGGATGTCCGCATCTACACGTGTGCAGGGCTCTACTCATACTCCTTTCCCTATCATTGCAAAGCAACAGCGAGATGTTTAGAAGGTAGGTCCATATCTGGGACCTGCCATCTGTGATGATGTCTGTTCATTCATTTGGCTTATGGGGAAAATATATGTATATGAGACTACGTTTGAAAGAAAAAGGTACCTCAAATTTGGGACCTGTTATGCTATAAAGTGTCCCATTAGTCTGACAACCTTACCTCTGGGGAGTGCATACTTCTTACATAACATCACATGGACGTATAAAATATAATGAAGCCCCTGGAGACTGCTGGCTGTTTCTGTCTTTTACCTTGTCAGCATCTCTTCTTTTAATGTGCCATGTGCTAGAAAGCTGCAAACTTTTATTGCCCTCCCACTGGCTCAGTTTGGAAGGAAGAGGAAGATGTTATAGTAACAAGAGTTTGGAAGTGTTCCCCATTGGAGGGGACTTACGTGTGCCTGGCTAGAGCTGATGAATTCTTTCTGCATTTACATGGCAATCCTGGCTCTTTGGTAGCATGAGCATTTTGCAGAGAAGTGAACTGTAAATGCATATGTTAAGGTAACAAACTTAGCAGCCCCCAAGGGATCTCGGATACTGTACAGGAACAAACAGGCCTCTGTACTCTCTTGGCAGATCAATATGTTTTGCTTTGGCTTGAAGTGCTCAGCTTTGAAGTGCTCTCCCTAAAAACTCATGACTCCTGTTGCAGAGCTTATTTCAACAACCACCTCATAGGCTGGGCCTTTATAATAAGATTCTTCAAGCTTGGCTGGAACCTTTGATCCCTTTCCTCTCCATGTAGTAACACGAGGGTTGGTGCTCACAGCTGACAGTTTTTGGGTCATTGCTTCACTGTGAACTCTGCAACCACATTGATTTTACTCTCTCTGTTCTGTGTATGGTTTTGTGTGTAGGCGAAAGACCAGCTGAATGATGCCTTGCAGCTCAACAAGCATGATCTGACATACATGATGCTGGGAAAAATTCACCTGCTGCAAGGGGAGACCGACAAAGCCATCGAAGTCTATAAGAAAGCAGTGGAGTAAGAATTTCATCCCCCCACCTCTTAGGAGAATTTTGATTGGTGAATTCAGGAACGTGTCTTATGTTTTTAAAATGACAGTGCTTCCGGGCAGATCTGGAATTTCCCAGCTATGTGACCATCTCTGCTCTTGGCTGCAGTACTCTTACTCCAGCTGACAATGTGTCAGAAACAGAGGTACCTCTTTGAAGCCCTTGCCAAGAGAAGAGTGGAAGACCCATGAATGGAGGTGCTGGGAGCAAATGTATACAAAATCCCCTTCTCAAATCCCATGATTCATGTGCTGAAGCCTGAAACACAGAGCTGAATGATTGCTACTCACGACTGTCACAGCTTTACTGTTGGCAAGAGCAGTGAGCAATCAACGACCATTTTGAACTTACTGGATTGTTATATACTTCACTGGGTGAAGTGAGGGTCTAAAAGTGAGGCTAGAGCCAGGCTGGTGCTGTGAGTTTTCCAGCCCAGTCCCTCAATCCTGATCTGCATTGTCCCACACCAGCTAAATTAGCAGTGGTTTTGCATAGTGGACAAATATCCAGGAAAGACTACTAGCAATTACTGCTGTTCATTGGAACTGTGCACACAGCTAGTCTGAGCTAAAGCAGCCTATTTTTGTTACCCAATCCTCTCCTGTTTCTCATCCACCTGTCAGTGGTGGTATAATTTATTATTTGTATTATCATAACCAAACAGAGAACAAAAAGACCTTACAACCTAAGTATGCCTTGCCTGTTGTAGATTCCAAACTCTGAGAAAGGGACAGTCCTTGCTTTATCCTTGTACAGCACTTTGCACAATGGGATTTCAACCTGGTTGAGACCTATAGGTGTTAGCACAATGCACCTTCCAAACTGGGGTTTGGAACCTAACTCTCTGTATAAGCAGCTAGTTCATTAGTATGTGGTATCCCCAACCTGCTTTTTCTCTCTTTGCTGCTCATTATTCATTATATTTATTATTTGCTTGAAAGGCCTTGAAAATGGGGAAGCTTTTTAAAGAGCCTACAAAACTGTACATGAGGTAGAGTTAGAGGTGAGGGCTTGGGAATCACAAACTGCAATTGAAAACACGTGACACGTTCGTTGTAAGTGTCCATTTTGTGTGAGTCAGTGGTGTTCTCCATTCAGCTGAATGGGGTAGTGTATGTTACCCATCAACCACAAAGCTATCGCCTGCATTCTGCCTTGGGAAAGGTGACCTTGTGGTTAAAGCAGATCTGTTTCCAGCTCTGACACTGACTCACTGAGAGATCTTAAGCAAGTCATTTAACCTCCTGCACTTCATTTTACCCACATAAAATACTACCTATTTCCCAGAGGGGCATGAGGAGAGATTAATTTTTGTAAAACATTTTGAGGTGCTCAGATATAATACGTGCCATAAACACCACGTGGTGGTGGTGAGGGTGATATTATTAGTTGGTTATATTAGCAGTAGTAAGAGGGATATTTCTTACATTGAGTGGAGTCTCGGGGGTTCCATACTTCACCTTGTATTAGTACTGCCAAGACATTGTAAAACTTTGGGTTTTGTATTTCAGGTTTTCTCCAGAAAACACAGAGCTCCTTACGACCCTGGGTTTACTCTATTTGCAGGTACTAAACACTGTTGCTACTATGTGGACCTAATTATATTTTAAATGGCCTGGCAGGTGCATATGGAGTAAATTTCTATTCATCTCCATGTGAGTTTGACATATTTCTCAAAAGGCCACATCAGACAAGATGTGGCTTGCTCCTCTGTCTCTTCTTTTCTCATTTGGCTCCCAAAGGGGAGTAACTTGATTTTCTGGTTCTGAGCCAGAGCAGGAATTCTGTTTGGCTACTGCCCTAATTGTGTTACTCATTCTCCCAAGTACAATAAAACATGACTAGTCATTACCTTGTTTCTGGGGATGGAGCTTAGCGAGTTATTCTCCTAGAAAAGCAGCCATGAAATTGTTTAACACTAATGCACCTTGGAGAAAATTGGAATTGATTTAAATAACACAGGCACGTTTATCACTAGGGACTTGGGTCATGAGTGAAAGATCATCTGTCTCCCAAACTACCTCCTCATTGCAGTATTTGGTACAGCTGTCATCCTTTGCTCAAGGGGGCTGCAGGCCAAGATTGAAGGACATCAGTAGAGCTGTGGAGGGAGCAGGAGAGGCAGAGCAAAGTATGGTGCTTGGGCAGAGTAGCATGGCAGAAACTTGCACAACTGTCACCACAAACAAGGAAAGTCGCAGTGTGGTGTCACATCCCTGGACTCCAAAATTCACTCCAAATACTTTTGCCAGTCTTGATTGTCTCCATGAATCACAGCAGGGTTAGATCCCTTCTGTCAATAGGCACTGGTGCAGTTGTGGGGGAGGAGGAAGGTAATGGAGTTTGAATAAATTCCTGGACCAACACGAGTCACCATGGGTTGAATTTATATTTTAATTATACCAGTGTAATTCCTGAGTATCTCCATTGAATCCAGTGGGACTTAAGTATGTGATCAGGGTTAGCCTCACTGCTGTATGGGCCTGCAGTGCTGCTGAGCACTCAAGTCCCATTGACTTCAGTAGTTGAGGGCAGTCTAAGCAGATAGACTTTGGGGCATTTCTGTCCAGGGAAGGGCACTGTGGAGAGCATGGGGAGGGAGGAAAAGTGGTCAGGGAATCTGTTCTGTGGCTGATGGTGCTCAGGAAGTCAGTCAATGCTCCTTTGTAGAAAAAACTCTCCAGATAGTTTTTATTCCCCAACACAACTATATAGAAATCTATTTACTGGGCTAGACAGTCTGCATCAGGTTGAGTTATGTTCCCTCTGTTATCAGAGGAATCCATTTTGTTCCAGCTGGTTGTGGATTGTGAAGTAAGAACACTGCACATGTGAGAATGTAACTGCAACAGAATAAAGCTAACTCTTCTGAATCTCTTACTTTAAGTTAATACCAAAAGCACTGTTTGTTATCTGCATGTTTAACCCTTCTGTGCCTGCATTTCTGACACTCCTTTGTCTTTTCCCAGCTTGGGGTTTATCAGAAGGCATTTGAACATCTTGGAAATGCACTTACATATGATCCCACCAATTATAAGGTACCATAAAGAATATATACAAGCCAATTTAAGGATGACATTAGGCCCGTAAAAACTAATTCTTGTGTAAAATATCCCCAGTACCAGACCATGGGTTGAAAAGGGGACCATGCTCCCAAAAAGCTTGTTCCAAAATGCATTTCTGTGACCTCCATCTGATGAGGATAGAGGATGTTATCTATGGGGCCTATTTGCTTTTAATGGAAAGTTTCATATATTTTCCATACAAGAATTTTTAACAAATGGAAATTGCTTTTCTCTAACTTATTACTTCAAACTGTTGCAATTCATCACAAGAACTGTGCACCACGTTCCTGGGAATTCAGTGTACCTCTGCAACTTTCTGGAGCAGAACACAGACACAAGTGAATAAGGATGGTGTGGTGGAACATCATTTCTTTGTTAGTCTGCAAAGATCATAATTCATACACGGTCTCTCTCCCAGCTATAATGAGGGGTAACTTTGGTCTAGCTAGTTGAGGATGGGATCTGAATAATGGGGATAATGTAAATCATTTTGAGATCTATGGATGGCAAAGCAATGAATAAATACAAACCAAGTATTATTATAAAGACTACATTACTTTTCCAGACTTTACGCCAGTTCGCTGAGAAGTATTACAAATAATTTATTGGACAAATGTAGTTTAGTTTAAACTAAGTTAATTTTGGTGCAGTATCTTTGATTTTCTTTTTAATCACATATGTTCAGTAGTTTGCTGTCACCCTCAGCCAGTAGTGTGAACTGTCCAGGGTTTGCTGTATATGCCTTGGAGTTAAGGAATGTTTTCATCTCCCCTTAAGTTGCCCTGGGAAGGTTTCTGTTCCAGTTTGTCATATAAAAGAAACAATTAGTATCTGGACCTTTTCAGAGCCCAGACTTCTAGAAGCTATTATTATGAATCACTGAAAGAGTATTAGCTAGTCAGGATGCAGCGTTTATTAGCCACGTTGATCAGGAAAGAGAATGTGGGAAGCGTGGGACCCTTCCCAGTGCCCTGCCCTCTCCTAGCCAGGATGTAGATTTCCCAGTTGTTCTCAATTCTCTAGCAAAGTTCCCCAAAGAGAATCTTCACTCAGACCATTGGCCTTGTTTTTAGTTTAATAACTTTATAGCATTTTCTCCTCACCAAGTTTGGGGAAGCTCAGTGCCTCAACCACTCACTGTCGAGTTCTTTTGAAGGCTATCTTGGCAGCTGGCAGTATGATGCAGACTCACGGTGATTTTGATGTAGCCCTCACCAAGTACAGGGTAGTAGCCTACACCATGCCTGAAAGCCCCCCATTATGGAACAACATTGGAATGTGCTTCTTCGGCAAGAAGAAATACGTTGCTGTAAGTGCCTGGTTCCCTTCCATTTCCATCTATATTTAATTTGATTTGTGTAAGAACAAATATAAAACAAGGATCCTCCCTCTGTGGCGGAGACTGGAGAAAGTCTTGACCACTCAGGGCATGTTACTAGCAGTGTTGTTCCTCTTTGCAGGCTATTAGTTGCCTGAAGCGAGCCAATTATTTAGCTCCCTTTGACTGGAAGATTCTGTACAATTTGGGGCTAGTCCACCTGACAATGCAGCAGTATGCATCTGCTTTCCACTTTCTCAGCGCCGCTGTCAACTTCCAGCCCCGGATGGGAGAGCTCTACATGCTGCTGGCAGGTAAATGACCCTTCCCTTCTGCCCTGTCCCCTTACTCCTACCCCACAGAGCTGCATGAATATCATCTTTGGGAAATATTGGATTTTAAGGTGGGAAAGCAAGAGGTGATGCAAGTTGTTATCTGAGACTGGATAACTCAGCACTCTGGTATTCAAAAGTTTTACATCACCAGGTCATGGACTGGTTTGAAATCAGATCAGCAGTGACCAAAAGTCAGTGCCTTCTCACTCGCCGAAATACAGTTCTTGCTATAGACTAGTGTGTACGTCCCCCCCCAAACCGCCATGGCTGGTCCCAGCTTTTGTGGGAGGACCGTTGTGGGGTGATGCAGAGAAGTTTGCACTGGTGCTGCTCATGCAATGACTTCTGTGATTAGAGCACTGGGGTTTCTGTGGTATCCTCAGTCTGGCACTCCTCACCAGCACTAAATCCAAGGTTAAAAAAACTAGAAACCAGGCATTGCAACTCCAGTGGTAAGGGGATTGTGTCATTCAAGAGGGGGATTCACCTTGTTCTCTCTACTCTGGCAGAGGCGCTGGGAGATTTAACGACCTGGGTAACCTCAGAGGTGGATTTACAGTAAAACACAGGGTGCCCTAGCATGGGGGCCCCCAACGACAGAGGGCCCAAGAGCCGGGCAGCTGCGGGGGCAGAAGCTTGGTCCTGCCGGCTCCTGGGGCTCCTGCTGCAGGTTCCGCACCCACTGGCAGCCAAGCTCTCCCCTCCCCCGCCACCTCCTCCCCAAGCGTGCCGCTTCCCCCGCCGCCAAATAGCTGTTTGCTGGTGCTTTGGGAGGGAGGAGGAGGAGCGGGGCCACAGCACACTCAGGGGAGGAGGCGGGGGCAGGGCCTTGGGGAAGGGAATGGAATTGGGGCAGGGCAGAGCAAAGGTGTGGCCCCCGCATTCACCCTACACATACCCCCCCAACCCACTGCTGTGAGCCACTCGGGGTAGGGGGCTGGAAGCACCCCCAGAACCCCATCCCCCTGCCCTGACTCCTGCATCACCCCTCCCCCAGCCCTCCCTGATTACTGCACCCCACACACATACCCAGCCACCCAAGCCCTGACTCCTGTACCCCCCTACATCCCCACCCTTAGCACCAAACGGGAGCTCCTGCACCCCCCCCACATTCCCACCTGCACCCCTTTGCACCAAATGGGAGCTGCCCCAGGTAAGCACTCCACACCCCAACTTCCTGCCCCAACCCTGAGCCCCCTCCTGCATCCTAATTCCTGGCCAGACCTGAGCCCCCTCCTGCACTCTAACTCCCTCCCAGACCCTGCACCCCCAACCCTGGCTCTTGCACCCCCCTCACACGCTCCCAGCCCCCTGCCCTCACTGACTCCTGCAGGCCCCTGCCCACTCTGACTCCTGCACACAACC